TGACTTCTCAAATCTTTTTAAGGGAAATATTTTTATTAACTCAGTCAACTATTTCAGGAGCCTTCAAGTATTTTCTGATATATAACCTGTCTTCTTATGATTTAATTTCACTTTAGAGCCACCAGAAAGAACATGACCTGTAAAATTAAGATAAAGGTTATGATGACTACACAGGAATGGAGACATTAGCAGGCAGGAATTCGCAGAGGACAAGATTTACAGGCTAGATATCTTCCATTTGGTGATGTCATGTTCTCTTCCAAAAGCTTTTTAAAATTCTCTTTCATTTTTTAAACCTTAGTGTGAAATATTAAATCCTAGTATTCAGACATCTACATTTTCTTATGCTAATAGCAGCTACTCAGTAAATATTTATTGAATGAAATCAGAGATGAGGAAAATTTGTATACTGAGTTTTATAATACAAAACAATTTAGTGCTACTTAAATATAAAACAATTGCGTTTGTGGAATTCTTCTTAGGGAGGGAAATAATACTACATTCAGTTTTAAGATTTAGAACAGGGAGCATAAAATGTGTTCTTCTTTTGTTTTGTTTTTTTTTTAATGGATTACTGGGGATTGAACCCAGCATACTAAGCACATGGTCTACCACTGAGCTATTACCCTCTCGCCATGCTCTTAATAAATAAAAATTGTACTTGTATTCTCCTTTGTTATAGTCAGTACAAGGAGAGATCCCACAAAGTAGGAAGAAAAGGTGGAAAATTTACAGAGATAAACACAGGAACTACGGGAAGAGAAAGGAATAAAGTCGCGCATACAGAGACATGTCCTGATGTCACAAAAGAAAGCTAGAAAGTCATGGCGACACCAAACCCAGGGAACATGTCATTCACCTCCCAGCCAAGTAATGACGCTGCTGTCCTACCTCAAAGTGGCTCTCAGGCCAGCAGTAGAGCAAGAACTGCGGAATGACACAGATGTGCACAAAGTACCTGGGGAACCTCAGAAGGAAGCAAATCACTGTCTGGAAGATGCAGGGAAGACGTGATGGAACTGATGTTTGGCTGAGTCTTGAAAGTTGAGATCGGACTGTTATCAAAGGGGGAGATTCAGGCAGAAGATTTGATGGCAAAAAGATCTGTGTGGCTGGAACATAAGATGCATGTAGGACAGTGAGGATAAAGAGAGTATAAGTTACAGGAACTGGTGCTTCAACATCATTTCAAAGTACTGCTGTGCGCCTGCCTGATAAGAGTGGACCAATTAAAACATCATCTCTGAGAATGCAGCCGAGGAAAAGGTATTTTTAGACAGGTCACTTTGAGACGCTAACGTGCAGCTAAAGTTGAGAAACACCCCCACAGGTTGCTGGATGTCAGCGAACATTTTCAAGCGAGGAAAGGCAAAATTAGATCCTTTTTGGGAAAGTCACTCTGGCCCGGAGAATGGAAAGAGAATGTGTGTTTAAGACTTTCAAGGACTAAACAGCAGTCAACAGTCTATTGTAATCTATGTATCCACAGACAAAGACATGTAGACAGACAGACTAGGAAGAGCCCATTTTTATACTAATGTTCAGACTATTTGGAAAACTTGGGTCCAACTCCTATTGAATGTTATAACCAAGCAGCATAAAATTTGTACACTTCCTATTATATTTGCCAAGTAGACCTAAAGAACCCTGGTTGGGGCTTGTCTTAATCCCTGTTTCAAATGCCTTACAAGGATTCACTATTTATAGATACTCCATAGCTAATTCATTTTGTAAACTGAAGGAGTTATTGGTAAGAAACAGTTACGGTAATATTATCATGCCAAATTTCTGATCAGATGAAATCATTTTACCTTGTTTTTGAGATCATATCACTACTAAGATTAGTCGATGTTATTGTCCCTTGGTAAACTGCAAGTATTTATCGTTGAAGAGAATAGGTCATTAAAAATGCATTAAGAAATCAGAGACTTCAGTCAGCATCTTCTATTTTGTTTTCAAAGTTACTTTGATTTTCTCATTAACAGCTATTAATCTTCATAAGGTGGTATGTTTTATTTGTAAGGTAATGTCCAATTTTAAAGAAATTTCAAAAAAGAACTAGGTCTACTAGCTTCTCTGAGCTGTTAAAAAATTGTATGTATATATACATATATGTCTAAAATTGGTATCAATTATTTTATCTAGAAAAAAAGTGACTGGTTTTGATTGAATTTTATTAGTGTTTCTTCTTGTTCCATATGTGTGTATGTGTATATGTATATACAGATATATACATGTATTTTTTTAAAAAATGGATCTCCAGTGATACCTTCGAAAAGAACTCTTATCTGTCTCCTAAAGGAGTACTTTCAGCTCATATAGCAATGTGAATTGTGTGTTTCTGTAATTACATTACTGTAATTGGCTGTATTATTTTAAGCCAGTATCTAGTATTTCCTTAGAATTGGATCCGAGTCACTCAAAAACTTTCAACCTGTGATTTGTCCATTATCTCGGACCAAAAGGAACATTCTGCAGGAGAGTTAAGACGACCCCAGTGTTAAAGGTAAGGAAACAGAGACTCAGTAAGGTGAAGTGCTTTCCACATGCCCTAGATGTTAGGGGCTCTTCTGACTTCCTATTTCTATTCGGAATACCTTATTAGAGGACAGTTCCCCAAACAGGTTAGCAAAAAACTACAAAACCCGTAATTCTCTTATAATAACATGGCTTTACTTAATAACTTCCTTAGAGGTTTGTGTTTCCAATCTGGGAAACAGTCTTAACATATGAGCTGGTTTTCCTAGCTTGAGGAGCTTCAATCTATTTCAAAAATTTGTAACTCTTTTCTAAAATATTTTTTGCATTAAAAACTCTTTGGAAAAATCTGATGAAGGTTATAAAATTTCCTCCTTGCAAAAATGTACATACACCCATGTAGACAAAATTCTGCATACCATCTTAAGGTTTCTGTTTTGTAAATATTATCAGGGAGACAAAGGGAGCTACATAGAAAGAGCACATAATAATAGCTTTTTATTTTTATGTGTTAAGATTTTTTTTTCCTCTAAAGTAGATTTGTTAGATGTGAACGTTTAAAATCTCACCTAAATGGTAATGAAATGATACGGTTAATATTAACTTTAGCAATCAATCTAATACTTTTCCAATCTTGTAAACTCTTAACGAAAATATGGTTACACAAAAACATTAAAAATTCAAGTTACGCTTTATAAAGGAAAACAACTGAAACCTCACAATTTGTCTCTGAAATGTACACAGTATGATACGTTATAAATGTAAGGCTTTGAGAAGAATATTTTAAAAACTCAAGACCTCATAATCCTGACGAAAACAAAAACAGACATACCACAAAATTTAATTTTTTAAAGATTAAAAACGGCATTCACTTTTTATGAAAGAGGAGAGGTTTCACCATCCCTGCCAAGATCTTGGGTAACTGGGCGGCAATAACCTCAGACATCATTTCTGGAAATTCAACACTCAGTGCCCGGGACTGGATAAACGTATTCAAGCAGTAAAGATGAAGCTGTTTGACAAGCTGTTGGTTTAACAAATGGATAAGAAGCATGTAAGAAAAATAATAAATTCACATACTGTTCAAACATGGCAGCTTATTTTTCTAACAACAGAAATACTTAAGATATTTTCTTCTAACCAAATGAAAACAAGCCTCTCCACTTTCTAGAATAATATGTAAAATATTACATGCTCATGAGGAAATACTCTAATATACAGAAGGATTTAAAGAAATGGAAGTAATTTTTGGAATCCTTCAGGACAACCATTGTGAACATTATGGTGTATTTCAAGTTTTTTTCTTTTTTATACGTACTCAGGCACACACATAATACGCACACATGCATGTATTTCCAAAAAGGCAATTATTTTATAGTCTATTCCTTAATCTAGCTTTTTCATATCACAATATAAAGACTTCTATTTCAACACAAACAACCCAAAGTCATCCATTTTAATCTAATTTTAATTTTTTCAAAATGATTTAATGTACTTAATTTTGAAAGTCAAACAGTACTATAAGACTTACAGCAACGAAACAGAAGTAACAACACACGTGCAACTACTTTCAACCTTTTTAACCTGCGTTGTTTGATATTTCTCTCTGTATTTCTAATAGATTTTGTTCTCCAGATTTTACATGATTGAGTTTCTATTAAATGAGGATTTAGCTCTTCTGTACTATAACCGCCCCCTCCATCCCCACGTACACACATGTTCTTCTCCTATTCTCTATATAGTTCTATCTCAATTTTTGGCCAAATCAATACCTAGCGTTTACATTATCGAGATTTTTATTATTTCCTGCTGGATTACATTTCCTTTCTTATGTGACTCATCTTAATCTTGCTAGGGCTAATCACCTCATGTTTCTGCCTCCTTTGTTTCTTCTTTTCATCTCAAAGTCATAGTCAACTTCTCTGACAGAGCTGTGAAAACTCCCTTCAGTAGGTTCAGACGTATTGGTAATCTCTCAGTTCCGTCTGTTTTCTCGGTGCTAGTACCCGGAAACCCCCTGCACGGCTGCTCCAATGGCGCCTAAGCGCAGGTTAACGTGCTGACACCCCTTTGCATCTGTCCCGGCCTGAATCTTCATTGTCTTCGGCTCACTCCAGAGTTTTGTTGTAAGAAATTCTGTAGACGCCCTTGAGAAAGTTTATATTTGAGGGAAGCTCCATGAGACCTTGCAGGTCTGAAAATACTTTCATGTAATGTTACTTGTTTGCCGGTATGGCTGGTGTAAAATTCTTTGAAGAGTTTCCTTTCCTTCAAAATTCTGAAGGTACTGTTCCGTCGTTTCTGGGTTCCAGTACTGCTGTTGAGAAGTCCCGTATCATTCTGAATCCTGATGATTTGATGTGACTTATTTCTTTTCTCATTGGTGTATCTTATAATTCTCTCTTTATTCCTGATATACTGGATTTTATAATACTGTGCCTTGGTTCAACTGTCCTGTGTCTGAACACTGGGACCTTATACCCAGAAATACCCTCCAGTCCCAGCAAGTTTCCTAATTTCTTACATATTTCCTCTCCTTGGTTTTCATTTTCTTTCTTCTAGAAATTAATATTAATCGTAGAATGGAACCCCCTAGAAAAATTCCCTAAATTTGCTCTCACTCTAATTTTTCATATCTTTACCCTTTTTTGTTATTTTTTTCTGAGTTTTCCTGAGATTTATATTTCCCAAGTTTTATATTTATATTGAATTTTTAATTTCTGCTCTTCTTTATTTAATTATCCAAAAGTATTTTCTTGCTAAATGTTCCTTTTTAAGTGTTTTCTATTCATGTTTCATGGATGCAACATCATTCTTATTTCTCTGAATATCTTAATTTTGGGGAAGATTTCTTCTGTTCTCTGCACTGGTGCCTTTTCTTTCAAGTTACTTTTTTTTTTCTGTTTATTTTGCTTTCTGTCTTTCATTTTAGAAGCTTTATCTAAATGGCTAATGATCCTTGGCTATCTGTTCATATTCAGGAGTGAGGCTTCAAATCCAACCTGGTGAAGAGACAGCTTTTCTACACCTTGACTGTTATTTTAGTGTGGTTTCTAAACACAGTAGTGATAAAAGCTTGTATACAATATGTCTTAACTAACCCCATGTTTCTTATTTTATTAATCCAGTTGTGGTGTTAGGCACTTCTAAGGGTTTTTCCCCTTCTTGTATAAGCATGCTGCATATATATCTTAAATACTTGCCTAATTATTTACTTAAGATAAATCCTAAAAACTGGGAATTTGAAAAGCATGCAAATTTTAAGTTTTGCTACATACTGCCAGACTGTCAAATAGCATTGTTACTGACTTATAACTCCATGCAAAATAGTATGAGAGTCTTAATTTCCACATCCATAACTTTGCTTTTCCTGTATACATAAAATCTTTTCTAAAATATTCTAGAGCATTTTCAGGAAAATGTGTCACAATTCCTATCAAGCATTAAATTATTCTCAAATTATACAAATACTAGTAAAAGGATATTTGGGTGACCTACACTGAAAATGAAGAAAGTACAATATAAATTCTGAGCAGTGTGATGAAAGTACTGTTTTAAAATGTAAGAACAAATATAAAGAAGAAACTGCATGAAGTAAAATTTATATATAACCTTTAAAAAGTTACAGATATAATTTAGAATATAATTCCTGATGTTTACAAAATACTTACATCATGCAAGTTATCAAGAAGTTTTGTAAGTTGGTAGAAACGCTGTGAACTCAGGACAACACCTTTCTGCCTCAAACCAATTGCCTTGATGAGCTCTCTAATGTAGCTTGATCTCATCTCTTCAAACTGGCTTTGACTTCTGAGTCCTTCCAAAGGAACTGTAAGAAAATAATTGTAAGTGACGGTTATGTTTAAAAAGATGACTCTAGCTGTTTATAATATAAATTTCTGAGCTGTATAATGATTTCTAATGATATGCAACTCTTGAAACAAACATCTTACATAGGAAAGACTGTTACTGATAGTTTTAGGGCCCATAAACTTCTAGTTCATTTGAAGAATATGGTAAGAACAATTAGGTAAGTTAAAGAACATTTCAGCTTACCTATTTTAGAGCTGTTATCAATGGAATATGCAGCTGACTTAGCAGGTGCTCCAAGGAGCGCTTGACATAATTCAACATTCCTGTCTCAAATACTTGGTTTTGATTCAGTTTACAATACATGTATGCTGGGTCTTTTCCTTTCTCTCTTTGTAAACAAATATGTGGATCTCTGTAAAGTTTTGACTTTATATAAATCTGAAGTATTCCTGAATATTATTCCTGGATAATTTATCTTTTTTGTTGTAATTCTAACAATGCTTCATTAAATTTCCTCACTCTTTCCTGCTGATATGAGAGAAAGATATTGATATTTGAATTTTCTCTTTTATTCAGCCACTTGGTTATACTCTACTTATTTGTGTATGTATGTATGTATGTATTTATATTTTAAATTTGAACAATTTTTGTTTTTGTTTTGGTTTTTTTTGGTATTTGACAGTGCTATATTCAAATAATATCCTCATTTTCTCCTTTCCAATACTTGTAGCTCTCATTTCTGCTTCATGATTTAGTACATTATTTAAGACTCCCAGAACAATATTCAATAATAACAGTGATGGAAATAACCCTATTTTGTTTGCTTCTGATTTTAGTGAGAATGCCTCTTATTCCCCTTATGATGTTACCTCGTAATGTACACATTTACCTCTGAAATCTTTAATTCATACATCCAAATATTAAGCACAACTTCCTGTTCTTATGGCTAGTTCTCTTATTTCTACTACATTGCCAGTTTACCCATAGGTTTTCTCCTAAATCTTTTCGGTGCTTCTGTTGTCACTTGTCTGAGATGTCCTGGTTGATTTCTTTAGCAACTGTATTACCAGAACTCCCGATTTCCTGGTTTCCTTTTATTTTGGTTGCACTTGTCCTACAAACATCAACCTTAAATGAAATTTCTGACTTTTCCTGCAACTATATCAAAATTGCTGAAAGAGAAAAATCACAGAATCTCTGGATCATGCAACTATATATTTATGACCTTGACCCCAGAAATATTTCTATAAAGAAGTGTACTTCATTTGAGTCAAGTTAATGGCATGAGGCCAGCAAAGAGAGAGAAAGAAATCTTTAAAAAGAAAACTCCTACTTTATTGCCTGTACCCCAACCAGACCTTGGCTTCCACTTCCCTTGGAACAAAGGTGGGCAGAAATAACAAATCAACAGAAACCAAAAGTTAACTCTTTGGTTATGAGTTTTCAAGAGCTCAGATCCTGAGTATGAAAGGGACTTAGAAAGGTCATTTAGGTCATATGAGATTTTTGCTCCAATTGGAAACTTTACTGTTGTACATACATGTGTATGTATGTGCTGTGTGTGTCTATGATCTCATCTTCCTACTTCAGTCAGCAGCTATTTTAAACATCCATAACTCTTTTAAAACTCCCAACCAATCCTCACGTCCCCCTCACTCTTAAACATGATTATAAAATTAGTTTTCCTTCTGATTATTGAAGTATGGCTTTCCCACTGGGTTTTAAAGAGCTGGAAAACTAGTAACCCAGCACCTTCACTCTGTCCATCTAAGTGTTTAGGACCAGAACTTGAACCAATCATCCTCCTTAAGAGACAAGCAGATCTAACCGCATCTGCCTCATCCTTTCAGTACCAACCAGTAACAACACACTCCCAGGATACGACAGTCCAGTCACGAGGCTCTTATCCTGTGCTCCTGGGACAGCTCTGAAAATTAGCCTCCTTTCTTATTCTTTTCCTTAGATTTCAGCTCCATGATGAACCAGCTCTCCAAAATATTTCTATTTCCTTTGACCTCTTTACGTTCATTATTGTTTTCTTAATTATTGCATCCAACATTAAATGATTTGAGAATTTTCTCTCAGATTCTTGTTGATTCCACGTGTGAGTTTTTAGGATTTCTTGTAAATACATTAGAGGTAAGTTGGGAGAGGGTGAGTCAAGAGTAGTTAGCAAGATGCTATTTTAGATAAGAACACTTTAAAAAGATCATACTTATTTTTGGTTTAGCTAACTTAAAAATAATGTATATTCACTGGAAACATTTTAGAAAATACAGAAAATACACAGAAAACTAAAAGTCACCTGAGATCCTACAATCTAATATTTTAGATGATTATTTAGACATTTCCTAATATTCTATTGAGAATATTTACTTATATCATTCAAAATTCTCCAAAAATGAATGTTTTAATTCTCACATAAAACATCGTATCACAAAAATGTATAGGAAATACTATGTCCTTGTTTTATCATTTGGCATTTGGAATATTTTAGTAGTCTAAATAATACAATGAATGTTGCTTCTGATTTTTTAAGAATATATTTTTAGAAGTGGAATTATTATTATTAAACTGCTTCTTACTATATAACTGTTTTGTAGCCATGATTGAGTATTTTCATTTTAGGCAATATTTGCTTCTTATAGAGAAAAATAAAATATCATCTCATTTTAATCTCTCAAATTATTAGTGAGGTTGAACACTTTTTTATACTTACTAGTAATTTGGTTGTTTTTAAATTTTTTTTGTTTTGTACTAATTTATTTATAGGGCCCTAAGCTATATTGAAATATTTTCCTAAATTTATTGTTTAAAGCATAATTTTAAAATATTTTATCAGTTTTGTGACTTTATAAGGGGAAAGAGAATTCCCCTGGGCAACCCAAATGTTCTCATGCTCCAGAGGCAAACACTTTCAATTCTTTCAACTATTTCTTTCCATCTTTCCTTCCATAGCTTTAAGTAACATCCTTGTAGTGCTGATACTTGATTTTTCATTTTTACCTTTTGACTTTCCAGTATAGAAAGTGGGGCTGTAGCTCTATTTCCATACTCCAGATCTATCATCACCACCACACCACCAACACACTCACACATACAGATTCCTATTCCTCATCTTCCTGATACAATTTTCACAATATTGGTCAGATCACTATTCAGTGTTTGTTATTTCAGCTATGTAAAACGCTACCACAGTCAAGTCATACAGCATATGCTCTGATTTCTTTTCTAGCAGTTCTTTGTTTTTCTAAGAGTAAGTAATCATCCTAATGGGTATGAAGTGGTATCACACTGTAGTTTTCATTCGTGTTTCTCTAATGATTAGTGATGCGGATTATCTTTTCATGTGCTTGACGGCTGCTTGTTTCTTGTGAGAAATGTCCATCAAGGCTTTTATCCATTTTTGAATTGGGTTATTTTTTACAGTTGAATTGTAGGGTTTTTTTTTACATATTCTGGATGTTAATATTACTTTAGCAAATACATGATTTTCAATGTTTTCACCAATTCAATGGGTTGCCTTTTTATGGTGTTGTGTCCTTTGATGCACAGAAGTTTTAAATTTTAAGTTTCCTTATCTCTTTTTTTGTTGCCTGTTTTCAGTGTCATATCCAAGAGATCACTGTAAACTCCAATGTCATCAAGCTTTCTCTCTATGTTTTATTCTAAGAGTTTCATAGTTTAAGGTCTTAGATTTAGATCTTTGACTTATTTTAAGTTAATTAAATTTTTTACTGAAATATAGTTTATGCAATATTATGTTAATTGTAGGCATATTATGTAATGATTTGATATTTATATACATTATGAAATGATCACCACAATAAGTCTAGTAACCATCTGTCCCGATACAAAGTTATTACAATATTACTGACAATATCCCTTATGCTAAATATTACATGTCCATGGCTTATTTATTTTAAAACTGGAGGTTCGTACTTCTTAATCCCCTTCACCTATTTTTCCCCTATCCCCTCCTCTCTGGCAACCACCTATTTGTTCTCTGTACCTATGAGTCTGTTTCCATTTTGTTTTGTTTGTTTTTTAGATTCCACATATAAATGAGATCATTTAATATCTGTCTTCCTCTGTCTGAATTAGTTCACTCGGCATAATACCCTCTAGATCCATACAGGTTGCTGCATATGGCAAGATTTCTTTTTATGGCTGAATAATATTTCATCATATATACACATGCCATGTCTTCTTCATCCACTTATCTATCAATGGACACTTAGGTTGCTTCCATACCTTAGCTATTAAAAATAATGCTGCAGTGAACACTGGTATGCATATATTTTTTGAATTAGGGTGACTGGGGGCTGTTGCCTGTTTGCTAGAGGGCAGGTATGTCCCCCGTGCTAAAAGTCCAGAGAGAGGATTCCAAAATGATACCTGCCAGCACCTGGGTTATCACAGTAGAATGAGCTCTCTAAAATGACTGCTGCCAGCATCTTTGTTCCCAGGGGTAGTACCAGTTGCCTCCTGACTCTCTGGGAGGCTCTCCAAGATCAGCAAGTGGGTCACACCTAGGCTCCTTTCAAATTCACTGTGGTAGGACTTGGGAGTATGCAAGATTTTGCACATGCCCTTTAAGAGCAGAGTCTCTGTTTCTTATAGACCTCCAGTTCTCTTAAACATAAGCCACACTGGTTTTCAAAGCGAGCTATTATGGGGGGGGTCATCTTCCTGGTGCAAGATTTCGGGGCTGGGAACGCTGATGTGGGACTCAGACCCCTTGCTTCTTGGAAAGGACCTCTACAATTGTGATATTCCTTCTGTATGTAGGTTGCTGACCCAGGGGTGTGAGTCCTGACTATATAATGTCTCCATCCCTCCTACTCGTGTCATTGTGGTTCCTTATTTCTGTGTTTAATTATGGAAAACCTTTTCTGCTAGGCTTCAGGTTGCTCTCATAGATAGCTGTTCTGCCAGTCGTTGTAATTTTGGTGTCTTTCCTTTCTTTGTGCTATTCCTTTTTCATGTATCCAGTTCTTATTTTATGGATGCAGTATGTTCTCTTACATTATAAAGAATGATAGGTTTTTTTTTAAGTTTTCATCTCCCTATAGTCTTGTTTCCTCTGTTTTTTTTTTCTGTTTTGTTGTTGTCTTTGATATCAAAGACCTCCCTCTGGTGTCTTGGCTATTTATTTATATTCAAGAGCAGAAAGCTAAGAAGCTGACTGATAGTTCTGTTTCAATGGGTGGTCCTTATTGACTGTGAGCTTTAGTTCAGGGCAATCTGGCTGAGCTATGTCAAAGAGAAACTCTTAATATTAGTATAGTTCTTTTTCTTTCTGGCTAAACAAATTCTATAGAGAAGATTCTTTCATTCTCCTATCTGGAGGATACAAACATGGATGATAGTGTTCTAGAAGACAGGTGGGTTTGGAGAATGGTGCCTCAACATTTGGTATATAACCTTAATCTGTTTTCACTATAGAACCCCTCACTAATATCAGTGCCTGCTATTCACTAATCCAGCTGCCTTCTGTTATATACTGTTCAGAGAATAAATCTACAATCTCTGCCTCAGTTGTACAAAAACAATTACATGGTTGGGTGATATTTGGAAACAGATTTTTAAAAGAAGTTGGTGTTTTCAACTCTACTTTCACTCTCATTAAAAACAAAACACTGTTGTCAGTAATTGCAAAACATGCTGGACGTTCAGTGATGCAATTAAGATGCTTCTTGGCTTTTCTAACTTCTGGCTTAGAATCCACCTTCTCAGGTATGCCAAATTAGTTCTGCTTGCTGGCTTCCAGAATTTTATTGCTACTGATTTTTCTTCCATTCTCTTTCCCTTTTATTTCTTAAAAAAAATCCCTTTACTAGTATTTTCATGTAGTTTTAGAAGGAACAATGGTAAAAGTGTGTGTTTAACCTGCCATATTTTCCTGGAGATCTGTCTTTGAATTTTTAATGGCAAATGTGACTTATCAAGTCAATAAACTTCCTTTGCCAACTTTCCTACTGCATTTATTTTTAAAAAGGTATTCTTTACTTGAGATTTCTAAATCATTTGTATCGCTTTTAGTTTGTTTTTTAACAACTGACATGTTTACAAATATGTGCTTTTTATTTTAGAGTATAATTTGAACTATCTAAACTAAGTTTTCCCAAATATAAAGCAACTTTTCTTAACAATATTTATTTGTTCCATACTCCTAAATTTGTGATGTTCCCATTACAGTATATTAAGTTCTAGTATGTACTGTCTGACTTGACTAACAATTCAGTGTATGTACTCTTCTTCCACACCCTTAATTATTGTAGCTTTCTAATTCTCTCCCTGCTCCTAAATTTTTATAATACTTATTTATTTTTCAAGACTTACAAATTTTCAATAGCTTTGCCAAGTCTCTCCTCAAAATTTCCATTAGGATTTTGATTATAATTTGTGTAAATTATATTACACAAGTTATTATATGTAATAACATATATTTATAATTATTTATAATACATATTTACAATATATGTATTAAGTACTATCCAATAAATAGGTGATTTTTCCCTTTTCTTGAAGCTGCAAGTGGCCAAGAACCTTGCTTTCTATGGTGCGTGAATGGAAGTCATTCGTATATCCCTTCCTTCCCTTACTGCTCCCGTTTTTTTCTTTAACCACTGCTCTAGTGATTATGGAAACATGTGTCGAGATGTCGCCTCCATTTGTCTGGCCACCTGAAGGATGACAGTAAGCCTCTCTGTCAATCTGCACTGGAAATATAGTGAGAATAATAAACACTTAACTTGTTTTTGATAAGCTACTGAGATTTTGGGGTTGTTGGATCCCCCAGCATAATGCAGCCCTCTACATAAATATAGAATTATGTTAATGATATCAACTAATTTTGGATTTCTAGGACTATTTATGAAATATCTGCTGTAGGAGCCACTACTGTCAAGAAAAGGAGGGCAGAAGTTAACTGCTGTATTACTAAATTTATTCCAGTTGACTCCCTTGGCC